CAAAATATATTTAAATAATTTTTAAATTAATTTTGTATTAAATATAGTATGAGAGAGAGAGAGAGAGAGAGAGAAATACCAATCTCAAACAAAAAACAGGTACAAAACAAAAATGAAACAACCATAATAAACACTCGGTGAAAGGCACTTTTAACACTAGACACCATAAATTCCGGGCCCAATGCTATTCAAATACAGACAACAGCATCATTTGTTTTCACCAAGAACTTTCTTGTTTTTGGTGCTTTTAATATACATTGTGTATTTGTCTACAGTCAGTGTTTGGTTTTAGATACACTATATGAATGCTATAGTATACTGTATTCTAAGCAGTATTACGTGTATTAATGGTCGATAAAAGGGTTTAATTAATTTTGTAATTAATAACACTTATAAGGGCTTACAATCTCTTTAAATACACCCTTTATTTATATGCAAAGTGTAATTAATTAAAGTTTTATTTTTAAATAATTAATGTAATTAATTAAATGCTTTTTAAATCCTCCAAAAATAATGTTCACCACGATGATTAATGAAATTATTTATTAAGCCCATAGCAACATGTTAAAAATAGCGTGTTTTAAGATTTAATAGCTTGATAAAAACAGTATTGGTTTTTCAGAAACGATTGGTTTATTATAGACGATAATATACTGTAACTATTATATGGAAACCTTAAATGTATGTAATATTTCTTAACAACAAAAGTACCATATTTATTATTTAACAAAATGAATGAAAAATAAATAAAACAAACTTTTCTGTTTAAAAAGTTACCAATTTTAGTCTCTGACACAAACAAACAAAAATATGTATTTTATATATAAATGCATTTTTTGTGTTGAATTGAAAAATACATATAAATATAACTTATATTTTATAACAAAAGGCAAAACAAGAATAACAAAAAAAATGTATACATTTTTTATACACAAATTCTGCAAAACGATAAGAAAATTCTCATTACATTACGAAATAGTATTTACAGAATATTCTTATGAAAAGAATATGCAATGAATTTGGTGTGAATTATGTGTGTTATTTATTTTATCAATGTCATTTTTGTTATTATATTAATGCCAGACCTAAATACAACGTTGCGTAATAAAATATTCAAACAATGTAAAATATATATACGACAAACATTTAATATATGCTATCATTAGTGATAGTATTGTTGAAATGTATATTTTCACTATAAAACATTAAGTTAAATTCTTGCCATTTTTCACCTAAATATAATGGTTATTACATAGAATACCGATATAAATACCATAATAAAAATTCATTATGTAATACAAGGAAATATTAAAGGTTTAATATATGTATAATGAGATTTAGAAATAAGATTATTATAATAATTTATTTAGATAATTAATTTATTTAATTAAATAAAATCAATAATAATTCATAATCAACATGACTAATACAGATGTTGCAGAATAAAGTAGTGGCAACTATGTAAATCACATAATTTGTTAGACATAAATTACTACTATATTTATGGGAGAGAGAGAGAGAGAGAGAGAGAGAGAGATTATATACAACTTATCAATAGCTTAAGCATTAATAAATGGGTCTTTCGATAGTAAGTAGAGATTGTATTAAGAGAGAGAGAGAGAGAGAGAGAGAGAGAGAGAGAATAAATGTCTGGTATGCCTACACACGGTAACCTTGTATATACCGTATATGGCTATACCCCACATATTTTACTCTCATGTAAATATTCAGTATCCCTCCCATCCCATCGCTCTCTCTCTCTCTCTCTCTCTCTCTCTCTCATTTCCAACCCTAAAAATAACACTAATAATACCCTAAGCATTACGAATAGACATACGTTTACAGTACATGCTATGTTTTCTCAAAGCATAATGATAAAAATACAATAATAAAAAATTCTATGTAAACAAAACGTAGCTGAATTTTACATTAGATTTATTATTTCTAGTATTATTATCTACCATATTCTTTGTTTGCCTATTGGTTTTCCTACCAATCATATGGTATACTAATAATACTGTATTATTGAGTGCATTATTCAGCCGATATTTATCTAGTATATTTATACTGTATAAATATAATCTATATGTTTTAATCATGACCACTACCACCACCACAACGCAACAAGGTTACGTAGTGTATTCATTAACACCGGATCCATACCCAGATGCTAATGGCATAGATGGTGAGCCTATCCGGTACAGTGCCTACGATAAAAGATTTGCCACCGCTCTATGTAAGTGCATTAATATTTTATTTTTTACCATCATTAGTTAGCAAATTAGATTATTGTCATAAATAATTAAATAATTGTGATTTAGCGATCATGATAAATAAATAAACCATTACTAGCAATTATGGTAATGTATAAACTATAATCTAATTTTAAAACTAGACTAAATACTTTAGATAACATTTACCATATTGGTTGTAATTATATTAGCACAATAATTACAGAATAATAAAATAATTGCAAACATTATTATAAACTAATCATTAATATACTAATAAATAATAAAACATTAATGAACCATAAAATCTAACTATTTTCATTTTTCCACCAAGGTCTATTCGTAGTAATAACATCTGTGGTACTGATATGCCTATACTTTCTCATTGGTCACGCATTCACGTACATAATGCTCATTATTATCGTCATACTATTGGTGGCCCTATTCATCGCATACCGGGTCCGGAGGCCAGGGATACTGTTCCCAATGAGGGCCACGACATCAGTAAAGTTTCCCAATTCATATGCCATGCATGTCATACCGGGGCCGCAATTGCCCCACATTTATCGCACCGACCGGAATAACCCGCATAAGCCTGATAACAGTTTTTATTACTCATATCCCGGTCCATATACTGTACCGGTTTATCATGGTGATAATGCTGCTAGTGCTAATGTTAATAATAATAATAATGCTACAGAATGTAAAGTGGTTAAATAAGCATGGCAGTTTTTGTTAAAATGTTTGTGGATTAATAGTATTAATTTAATACCATGTGCTTACTTCCCGTGTATAAATAATAACTTAATATAATTTTGTGTTTTTGTCTAACTCTTAATACAAATAAAAAATACTTTTGATAAATGTTTTGAATGTTGTGTTTTTGTTTGAAATGTAATTTTTTGGTCAAATATTCATTTATTGTATATAAAGTGTTTGGATTATATAATGAAGCGAATTATATAGTATAATGTAATTTATATTGGATATGCAATTTTTGTAGTTGGGTTATAACAAGTTATAACAAAACTTATACATTTAAAGAAAGTGCTTACAATTAGCAAAAATCGTTAGTATAAATTAGTGTTAAAATATTCTATACTAGAATTAATGTTTGCATTGATTATTTAAAAAAAAATCAATTTATAATATTTAAATATTGTTAGTACAAATATTTGAAATTCAAACTATATAAATTTAAATTTTTTAATAACTCAAAGTTTCCGCATCTTAACATTAATATGTGTCAAAATTTTTAATATTTTTCTATTACCTTATTCTCTTTTTATATAAAACATTTTATGTTAAATCTAAAACAAACTAGTTAAATAATTATATATTAAAGGTTAAAATTTCTATAATTGTATATAAAATATTATTTTTTAATCAATAAGGATAAGAATAGGTTTAATTTATGAGTATGTATTGTTTTGTACGCATATATTACATAAGGGCATATATTATATAGTATAAATAAGAAACACTAGAACATAAATTAACATTCTGGTGGGCAAATAAAATTATTTTCATGATCGATTTAATAATGCATTTTTTCGGACAAGTGTTTCATAACATATAAGTAAATAATAAAAAAATTCTGGAAATGATAAAATGCACTCAAAATGCCTGTCAATTTGCATTATGGTAAAAATTGGGTAAAATAAATTATGATAAACTTCAAACATTTACATAGCATGATCACATTTTCTATATTAATTGGCAAACATGATAAATACCGACAAATATTAGAGTTAATTAATCAAAACTATTAGGCATGTTATGCGTTAATGAAACCTTGTAAAATTTTTTACCTTATTTGTTTTTTAAAGTTTAATACACTATTGATTTTTGAATTGTTTTTATTTTATTTACCAAGTGTAAAGTAAAGTGAAATAGATTGTTTTATTGATTTTTCAATTATCATCATAGTTTTTTCTGCCTATAAATTGTGGTATTTATTGGCAATACGTTTGGGTAAAAATTTTTTTGTTTTTATATTAAAAACCATTGATTTTTATGTGATTATTATTTTATTAAATCAATGCTTTCTTTATGGAAATTAGTTTTTGAATCAAAATATATTTAAATAATTTTTAAATTAATTTTGTATTAAATATAGTATGAGAGAGAGAGAGAGAGAGAGAGTTTGTGACTGGAGGGGATTGGATGCCGTGTGCTTAATGACAATAATCATCATATATCACAAGTAAATTGAGAATTTATATAAATTATCTTATGGTAATTTTGTCAATTTTAATAAGATTTTTAATTTATCAGTAATTTAAAATTATAATCATTATAATGAATCTCTCTCTCTCTCTCTTTCTCTCTCTCTCTCTCTCTCTCTCATACTATATTTAATACAAAATTAATTTAAAAATTATTTAAATATATTTTGATTCAAAAACAAATATTAGAGTTAATTAATCAAAACTATTAGGCATGTTATGCGTTAATGAAACCTTGTAAAATTT